GGCAGTCAACACCATTACGACAAATAAACATTTCAACTGACGCAGTAAGGCTATCGCAGTCGTGCTTCTCGCTGCATGTGCGCGTTTTAGATATCGTTTCCGTAAGTAAAAGCCGATCCGCACATAAGCGCTTTAGCGAGCGACGAGACGAGCGACGGCGACAACGAAGAGTCAGTGACGAAGATTTCTCACTGTCGCTCGTCGCGTCGCACGGTCTTTATATTTCTCGAAAACGTCGCTCATAGTCTTGGTCTGTTGCTCCCGTCGCTTCCATGCAGTTTGCCTCGTCGCGAGGCTGACCGAGTAACAGTGAAACGGGCGCCGTCGCTTGTCTCGTTGCACGCCAAATCGCTTGCATGCGGTTTATACTTAATATCGAGGTGCCAATGGTTCAGTGCTCTGTGCATCGAAATTAATTAAGTATAAACCGCATGTAAGCGATTTGGTAAGCGACGAGACAAGCGACGGCGACTCGCTTCAATGTCGCTCGGTCAGTCGCGCGGCGAGGCAAACCGCATGGAAGCGACGGGAGCAACCGACCAAGACTATTGCAAACACGAAAAATGTGTTTGCAATAAATTGATGTGAAACCCAAATTGATTTATCATTGGATCTTTGTTATTGTGTTTTACAATGAAAAGCGAAACTACCAATATCATCAAATTAACCGTCACCCCTTTATGACTGAGAAACATTCTATTATTCTGTATATGACATTGCTATATTTTTGTGTTCAATGGGCTCGTGAGTGCCGTCGGCCACAGCTAAAGCAAGAAAAACAAAACGCCTCACGTCATGTGGTCTTATATTAATAGTACTATGTTGCGCCAAAAGCTCTTGCTAACTCAAAAAAAAAAAAAAAACCCTGCCAATCGGCTTATTATTTACTTGTTACTTCCTTCGTCTTGAAGACCTGAGAGATAATAGCGCCAAGAATTAAATTTATTGTTTTCTTTTCTTGAGTTGTCGCTTGCCTTTTTAAAGTTCGGTTATTTGATAAAGTACGACCTTCTAAAATAATCAAAGGAGTACTTAAAGCAACTCATTAATCTTATGCGCAAATCTAGGGTCATGTCTTGTTGACACGGACACCTCTACACTACTTATGATGGCCCGTAGCTTAGAGATTGCGATTGAAGCAAGACCGAGCTCCGGTCGACGCGGGATGGGGCAATTTGCGCGCGCGTTGCACGGGCTAGTCACGAGAGCTAAAGGGGCATGGTGCCAAATTCGATACAGCTACCTTCGTAAACACAGTTCGCAGGGCGGACTGTGTTTACGAACTAACGTCGTAACACCTCAGACTTTTCTCGTAAGAGCTTCCACAGCAGTACCTAGCCTCGTATGGCAACTTGCACTTTTTCTGCAGTTTGGTTAACACACACGCTGATAGATAGATAGGACACTTTGTTATGGTTCACAAGTCCACTTCCTTACGATGATCGCTGCCTGACCACAGCGGTTCTCGGAACTCGTGGTTCAGCTTAACGCTCTTTCTGGCTTACGTGGTGTCCACCGTATTGTCGTTTTCGACTGTAATGTTTGGTGCCACCTTTAAACGGCGCCATTTAAAGTTCACGTAAGTGGCGAGAAAATGCACGTGAGTTTCCAGTTGACGATAGCGGACATTTATGTGGCGCACCCCAACGAGTTATTTTAACTTTGGCAGTGTAGGTTGGCCGGAGTGTGCAACCACTATGTGCGCCTTAATACCGGAAGTCTCATGCGCCTTGCAATTTTTTCTTAATGAACACACGTCTGTTCAAAATTTATAACACGCTATTTACCATTGAACGACAACTCAATTTGGGCATTCCAGGTTAATCTTTCTTTTAGTATTGTTATGACATGACGCAGTCGTAGGAAACACAGGCATTCCATATACCGGAAGTTGTGAGGCAAAAAAAAAAGGTTTTCTTTTAAGTTTTGCATTCTTTTTGTTTAGACTTGTTCGGCATTTATTCTGTGTAATAAAATGGACCTACTTTATTACTTCATTGGCACTTTTGTTAGCGTTTGGTTGATTTTATTAGGTAGCAATGGCAAGAGTCACTTTAATACGTTTTGAGAAATAAAATTACTTGTAAATGTTCCTGCTCTTTGCAGTTCCCTGTTCCCTATCCCACTGGTTTCCAGAGTTATGATTTTTAGTTTGTTGAGCTGCAAATACTGCAATAGGTCCACTTTGCCATCCTCTAGATCTTGCGAACAACGAAGAAAAAGACCGATAGCTCTACTGGAGGAGGTGAGACTCATCGTATGAACGGTTTATGTGGTGTTTTCTTTAGCTTCGGATTTTTTTTTTAGTTAAAACTGTGAAGTTCGACTCCTTCACAAACATCTCAGTACGAAGTCTAACAGTTAAAATTCCGTGCGCGTCTTTATTACGATACGTACAGTCCACCCCTTCCTTCTTCAAAAGAATCGAAGCGCAGCTTAAGCACCTCAGCACGCAATATAAACAAGGCCACATAATGTAAAAGCTGAGTTGTCACAAAAAACGTGATATTTTTCTCTCATGTAAGACAGTCACTGGCGTTTCTCGAAAACCGCAATGAGTAGCTCTAACCGGTGATTTCTATTCATAAATGAGCGTACTATATTCAAATGTCCAAGCCGGCTAAAAAATGTAAATCAGCTTTATGTTCTCAATCTTGCAAGTGAAACCCACACGAGAGTTCTGAAATCATCAGAAAAGGAATTGTCACAGTCAAAAGTAACGTTCAATTGCAATTCCTCTCAAGTAATCCTGAAATAATATTGAATAAATTTTGACAGTGAATATTCTATATTTTAACCAATTACTTTTTGAATGCCTTCTGAAAGCGGGCTTACCCCGATGCACACAATACGTTTTGAACAAATTGTCTTTGTTCTTGACATAATCCCCCGAAACCACCCAAATTAGGTGTACAAATCTCCTGGTTATTGCCGCTACGGCAGTAATGTTTTCTCTTCACTTTACCTCTCCTCTTAGCAGCGAGACAATACCTCCACCGATAAGCTGCTAAGGTATGATTATTTTATAAACAATACACTTGACAAGGAATGCAATATATGAATGCATTAAATTTTTAGGCTCCGCTCCCACGGCGACGATGCTGATTTGCCTTTTTTTGTTTTTGTAAATATTTTTGGCAGAAAAAATACCCATATTTTTCTCAATTCATATTCATAATTATGTAAATAAAGTGTTAATAAAGATACCTTTTATTATTGTGAAAATATGTTTTACAATTCATTATTTTCAACTTTTCGAAGAAAGGGCACCATGCTTGCCGAGCCACCGGTGTAATTGTGAGTTCTGGGTGTTAATTAAACATTTAGAAAGTTTTTTGAACAAAAATGGCATTTTTCTTCTTAATCACTGTAAGTCCCATAAGCTTAAGTGTTCGTGGGCTTCGTAAATATAATGAAGAAAGTAAAACATTAAAGGCGGTCGGTCTAAAGATATGTACTGAGCGGTTTTAGATGATAGAGTATTTACAAAATAAACAAGCAAAGTTAGAAAAAAGGTCTTATTTTTATAAAAGTGAAACAAGTTTTTTTTAATTTTGTGAATTTCTAGTTTAGTAAATATTGCAAAGTATAAATTTCTAAAAGCGAAAACTTAAAGGTATTTGTTATAAAACTACGTACCTTATGCGTATATGTATACCTTGTAACGAAGACAACAAACAAGCAAAGTTTGAATAAAAATTTATTTTTTAAAAGCGTGAAACATAATTTAGCACTAGCCCTATGAAACCCTATTGCACCATATACCGTCATGCGGTTGCATGGGGCCAATGGTAAAACATATTTTTCTCGCTTTCCTTCAAACTTTGCTCGTTTGTCGTCTTATTTACAATCTACATAGAGGCGTAAAGTATGTAGTTTTATAACGAACACCTTTGAGTTTTGCCTTTAAAACTATATTTTGCAATGTTTTCAATACTAGAAATTTATAAAATAAAATAAAATAATCATGTTTAGAACTCACTTTTTTTTCTAAATGTCCTCTTGTGTGTACGACTTTTAACAATCTATAACAGTTGGGTATATATTTTTAAACCGACCACATTATGATTATTTTTTTAAACTAAGTGTTTTGCTATATGTTCAGTATTGTACATTTTTATCATTATATCTTTTTTAATATGCTTTGTTACTTTTACTATGAAAACACAAAGGTTTTAAATATTTTTATGGTAGCGTGTGTTTCAAAATAAAATTGAAATATCAAATTTGTGGACATTTCTAACCCATCTGGACTCTTACACCATTTTGAAAAACGCGACAAACATATTGCGTAATTTAGAAGAATATTTTCACTTGCTAAAAGCGGTGTTTATTTTGCAATCCTGTTTTAAACCTTTTTATGGAAATTATGTTTTTGATCCCTTGGGTCTGTTTTCCGCAAAATTAAAATGATCGTAAACATTTAAAAAAATACTTAAAGAAAAACCTTTGGTGAAAAGTATTTTGCACTACCAATAACACCTACAATTTTTAGGCCGAATCCATGAGGGTCGCATTTAAGCTTCGACCGTTAGGAGTGGGATGACCAAGTTATAAAAATGCAATCCATCCAGAACAGAGCCGTGTAATTTTTTTTTTCTGATTGTTCATCATTCACAAGCTTTTTTGCATTGCGTGAAGCTGGTAAACTTCACACAATTTCATTAGGCACTGAACGTCCCGTCTTTCTCTCCTTTACCATATCTTTGATCACGACATGCTACTCGTGAATCGCTGCTTTCACCGCCGGGGCAGCTTTTTTTCCCTTTCGACCACTCTTGTAGTTGCGGCAAACCGTTTCGTCCACTACTCCATACAGTAATTTAACTTTAGCTTTGAGTGGAGCATACTATCAAACGACATTGTTGCTATAACCGACACACATAAATTTTCTCCCACTGTAACCAGTTTCATTTCTGCTTTATCCGACTAAATTCCTCTTCTTCTGTGTTAAAATTGCGTGAGAAAATGTTCTTTTTGAAAAAGCAAAAAATAAGTACCCCTCTATTGTAATGCTCATAAGGGCCTTCAAGGATAATAAATGATGATGATGATGATTATTGAAACTTCTAGCTGCCTCCCATGTCTTCTTCCTAAAGAGCAGACAAGTACAATACGTTAGTTAGAACTACTCGAAACAAAGGCACTGTGAGTGCAGAGCCTCTGGAGTCGTTTTTAATTTTGGGTGTTATTTCTATGTAAAGAGAGTCTTCAAACAGAAACGATATTTTTCTCTCCAATCACTGCAAGTACCATATACCTGGGTAAGCGCAATCTCCGTAAATATAATGAAGAAAGTTAAACAGTCGTTGTAAAGCATTTTTTGGGCTAGTTGCATTTATTTCAAATCGGAGGACATATATGAATGTAACCGCACCTTTGAGAGAGTTTAAAACTAAAACCAAGAAAATATTCCATAGCATTAAAAATTATTGAAAGATGTATTTTTATAAATGAATTGTATTCTTTCAAATATTCACGATTGATATTAGTACTCATTTGCAAACGTGAAACCCGAAAACGTACATTCGCACACTGACACACTCACCGAGACGACAGTCCACTAACATTTTCGAGCGATGTCTCGACCATTCAGGGCAATTCGTTGACTCTAGGCATAAACCTCTTGTATGTATTTAACGTACAGGATATTTGTCAGATGTGAGAAAAACAAGCTCCAATATTACTGAATTGGCATCTTCTCAAGAAAACCGAAGTGCGTGTCGTGGGCCATACAACTCAGATCTACAAGTACTCAGCACCACTACATAACAAAGTATTGAAATTCATCCCCATCGTGTCAGTCAATACTCGCCAGGAGCATAAGAAATACTGCGGGGACGCAATCTATGGTTCTAATGTTCTTGGACGAACCCTTCTCTTGTTTCTCGGCACTTATCAGGACCTCGATAAACTTCTTAGGTGACTGTCGAATAGACAGAAGGAATGTCGGCGGCTTTAAACTTATTTCTCCAGTTCCGTTGAGTCTGTGTTGCAGATTTGACGTTCACGAATCCAGACGCACACTTCGCTTTTTAACCAAAATAGGAAGTTGCGTCACTATAAAAACACATTTACTTTCATTCAGAATACATGAAACACAAACCAATTAGCTCGAGTACAAAGCTTAACTGTCACCAAAAATACTGAGCAACTTTGTTTTTATTGTAAGCGGTTTGGCTCCCTACAGTATTTAAAAGTTCGTAAGCGTCTTAATTGACAGCCTGCATTATCAAAGAACCAAAATCGGATATATCTTTACAATACCATAAAAATTGCAGACGGATTGCCCTCTAATTAAATCTGGCTATCTTGAAATTTCAGCCTACAATAAATATTATCTAGAAGACAGCAGCATTACATCGCGCCAAACACTAACCTAAAACTGCGTTCTAATTCCCCGAAATTTCAATAACACAAACACCAAGAAGTAGTATAAGTCGTTCGGCCAAATAAATTAACGCGACTTATAACACTGATGGAATAAAAAGAACAACCTCCCCGAACACCGCACGTGACGAGATCGGAAAGGTTGACGGCTGTACTCACGCGAGCTGCACGACGCCGAGGCCAGTGAGCGCGAATGCCAATGCAGGCGACGCGCGAGCAGTGCAAGCGATGCGGTCTCGAGATAGCCACGGAGGTTGCTGACAGCCGACAAGCGCAGATAACGGCGCGGAGCGCGGTCAATGCCGGACCAAATGATGCAAGTGTAAAAAGAAAAGAAAAAGTGATCGGTACAATACTCGGGTTGGGGTGAGAGGAGAGAGTTGGCTGTCTCCTCTGTATCCGCTTGTTGCAGAGAAGGATGTCTCACTTCAAACCAACTGAGTGGATGACTCCGAGGGCCTTTCCCTTTTCACGAGCCGATGCCCTCATCGAACAGCTTTATCCGACCCTTAATAAAGAAACTGTTTGCCGATACGATTCGGACGATAACGGCACAGGGACCTCGAGCTTGATTGTAGCTAGTTTGATTAGAGGAGACAAGCTTAAAAAGGCAAGTGTTTGGGATTCGAGACTTGCAAGGACACGAAGAGTTGCTTCATAAAAAAACTGTCCGGGTCTGTTCTTTTTTTTTTTTTTTTCAGCCTTATATTTATTATTGATATTTTTGTTAATTTTCTCCCGCCAGAATTTAACATTCTGAAAGGTTTTAACAATTATTTGTAATCCTACAGACCGTTGCAAAAATCGCCTTCTGCGCGCTGGCATCTTTGTCTGCTAGGCTGCAGAACGCCTTCTGAGCAAGGGCTGTAGCTCTGCTGTGCGGTATATCGGATGCTGCGCATGCGTCCACAGCTAAGTGACTCTACATTTTTCGCCCGGGTGATAAGCGATGGAAAGGTCTATATAATGAAGAGAATAATATTACTCAAGGGATAGTTTCAGTAATCTTCCCTAAAAAAAAGTGTGTCCACGGTTGAATACCGATTAGCAGTTGGCATCAATAGTTGTTGGCGTCATTACTGAAATTTAAACATGAGCCCTGAAACCATTATTAAAAATGCATCCCACAATTTGTTTAACAAACCGGCTTACCATGATGGTTATTAACTTGTTAACGTAGCAGCTTGGGCGAGTTGGTAGCTCATATTAACACACAATACAGCACACTACTGCAAAAGTACACTCACACCTTACGCTCACTCCTTACGCACAAAAAGGAAGAAAAAACAAACGAACCCCATTGACTCACAACTCATTTTTATATACTTTGTCTCCTTCTACGTCTGGAACTACGGAATTTTTCGAATCACGCGCACCTATCTTCTCGACGCCAAGAAAATTTGTTATTTTTCTGTCAGGTTCAAAGATGGTGTACTAATACAGTTTTCATGATTCCTGAAGATGTGTTCAGTTTTAATAATTTCCCTAGTTAGTTCATTACTGTGCCTACCTAAAATTTTACAAGATGACAGGTGAACCTCGCACCCAAAATCACGGCAGTGTATGCCAAGGTGGCCAGAGGTAGCTCTGGTGCTATTGTTTTTGTGTTCTCGGAGCCTATACTAAGGGATAGGATATCCGGCAGACTGACATCTGCCGGATACCTTATTTCTTAATCATAAACTTCGACACCCTATCTCTTTATACCCTATCCCTTTATTAATATCGATTGCAGAGAGCATAAAAAAATTTTAAAAAATTGAAGGAACATCTGTCGCACCAAGACCCAGGAATAGTATAGAGGGACCAGTCGTTCTGCCCTTTATGCACAGATTCTCCCATATCATAAAAAAGTCAATAAGTTCAAAATTGACGTCGTCTTCTCTGCTCCCAATAAGCTTCCCATCCTGTGCAAACAAGTGAACTCACCTTATTCCCACCGAACGGTGAGCAGTACCAATAAACATCACAATAGCGTTGTCGAGTGCGCAGAGGAAGTGGTGTATTCGTTTTTATTTTCGTGTAGGAAAATGTACATAGCGCAGACAGGACGATTCCTTAATGATAGCCTCCGAGAACACAAAAACAATAGCACCAGAGGTAACTCTGGCCACCTTGGCATACACTGTCGTGATTGTGGTGCGAGGCTCACCTGCCGTGCCGTACAATTTTAGGTTAGGCACAGCAATCAACTAACTGGGTAAATTATCGAAGCAGAACAGATCGTCAGGAATTAGAAAAACTGTATAAGTACACCATCTTTGAACCTGACAAAAAATAACAAATTTTCTTGGCGTCTAGGAGATAAAAACAAAACGAATTAGTCGTTATTAGTTTATACAGCAGGAGTTTAGTCTGCTAGAACATAGCGACAGTGTTACCCACTGTAGATAAGCAATTTCGCCAGTGCAGTACGACAGCTAGCCTAAGGTCTTTAACGTGCACCATGCAGTAGTTATAAAACAACCGCAAGCCGGTACGATGCACATCCAGATTGAAACGGGCAGGGGTGGGGATTGAGCCCAGGATCCCCGGCTTCTGCAGCGTGAGCTTTCGCTCTACGTGCTCCGAGCTGGTGTGCGCTAGACCACTCGGCCACCGATCCCCCGTCTAGGAGATAGGTGCGCGTGATTCATGAAATTCGGTAGTTTCAGATCTAGAAGAAGACAAAGTATATAAACATAGCTGTAAGTCAGCGCGCTTCGTTTTTTTTTTTTTTTCTTTCCTTTTTTTGTGTAAGGAATGAGTGTACTGTGTGAGTGTACTTTTGAAGTAGTGCGCTGTAGTGTGTGTTATTACCTCAATTAAGGTCCGCCAAGCCTGACACTCTGATGGCGAAGACGGCACCCGTGTAATTTCCCCTATTATCAAACACGCTTCATCTAAATACACTAGTGAGTTCAGAATTCGAGACATGTTTTGCCGGCTTCCAGTGTATTCCGGAGTCTAAAATAATGCACATGAATAGAACCTCAGGTGTGTGAGGCGTCCGCCGCAAAGAGTAAAATGCTTCCTTCATCATTACGGTGCTTTTGGTAGCACTACATATTCTATCAATATGGCGACGCGCAGCACGCATTCCAAAACTCGGGAAGCAGACGATGCAGACTTGCGTTCGTCGGCAGTTACCTGGGAAGAAGTAGAGTAATCTAAAATCACCAGTATGATTACGTTACGCAAAGAGAATACGGATGCATGAAAGTCAGTATAACATTTACTTCAAGTGAATAAAACATGTTCGAAATTTTCAACAGAGCGCTGGAGACCTTGCGGCGGCGTCTCACACCCAGTGTTGTCAGTGACGCCATACGTTTTTTCGGTAACGTACAGTAACGTGCTTGTTACATTTTCAAAAGTCATAGCGGGGTAACGTACTTACGTTACTGATTACGAGGAACGGGTAACGTAGCTAAGTTACTCGTAACCTATTCTTTCGAAGACTTAAAAAAATTACACTTCAACTACTTTAGTGTTTCTAAGCGCCAAGCCTTGCGAATTTTTCAATTTTTGGCACCTTTGTGTTTAATTGTGCGTATTTCAGAGAAGCCGTAAAAAGTATAATATAATTATGTTCAGTTTCTGCGTGGATATAATGTTTCTTGAAATATTGCGTTTATGCACACCTATAACGTGAAAGAAGTAAACCATGTTAGTTTATAATTAGGGTGTGTACTTTCCGGTGTTTATTTGTGAGAAAAATCGGCGGATGTTTTTCGGTGTTTATTTATTTTCAAAACACCGGTGTATTTCGGTGGAACGTCTCACGACGAGGCTAAAATCGGTTAATATCGGTGAAAAAAAGCGATTGATCACAGGCAGAGAGTTCCAGTTTTATTCACATAGTTCATACACTTCTTCTCTAGGAAGCAACTATTTCTCACACTTGGTTATTATAGTAGATGCAAGCATACTTTCATGCTTGCATCTACACGCAAGGAACGTGCTGCCGTCATGGCAGCACGTTCCTTGCGGTTCGCAACCCGCAATTATGGAAACGCACTCTCCTGTACGACACGGACGTTGGCAGTGTCTTCCAGGAACCACAGCAACCTCTGAATACATGGCTTTCACCGACATTACTTGGCCAGACACAATGAGGAAAAGGCACGTGAGAGCCTACCCTCCAATGTGTTAATTTTTCCACAAAAGGGGGCCATGGGAGACACAATAGGGGAAAGGCGTATGAGAGCTTAGCTTCCACTGCGTTCACTAGACGCTTTTGACCCACAGAAAGGAGGGCGGACTGACGCTACCTGCAAGCCATGTATAAACACTGGAAGAATGCAGGATCCACGAGATAACACGTTTGACGAACCTCTACGGGGAAAGGGTTTCGCTAGGTCGGAAACTAGCAACGACCGGTGCTTTTCGGTTTTAACCAGGGCGAAAATATCCAACCACCGGTGTTTTTCGGTTTTAACCGATTTTATATTTTCGTCACCGACAGATGTTTATCGGTGTTTTTCGGTTAAAACCGGAAAATACACACCCTATTTATAATTAAACAGTAACGCGAACGTAACCTCGGTTTCTTTTATTTGCAAGTAACGAGTAACGCATTTCCTTACTTTTCTTCGCTAACGCCTAAAACACTGCTCTTACCGCTGACGCCTCGCTTGCGAACGCCAGCGTGCGTCGCCTACGAGGCGGGCGCCAGGAGGCATGATCAGAAAAGCTCATATTTAAAAAAAAAAAAAAATTCCTTAGCAACAACAAAAAGTTATTTTCCATTTCTTTTTTTTTTTATGTTGAACAGTTGAGGTGAATTGAACTTATGGTTGTTTCGAAAGTTCCGGGCACCGCTGCCCACATTGCTTTTTATGGCTCTCAATATGGCCGCTTCTGCGTAAACTGGAGATTTGTCATTTCATTTAAACGGAACAAAACGAGGCTTTGAAATTGTAATACAAGCGACTAGATAATTAGACTTAAGAGAACAAAAGATAAAAGTATTGTGGCTATCATTCATACCCAAGTTAACTATAAAAATTAAGAAATCTCATAAAGGCTCTTCTTTTTACGGCTCATATTTGGATCAACGTGGCGTCTTTAAATATTCGTATTTTAAGGTGAGATAAGGAATAGTATTAAGTATTTAGGCGCCCACATAGATTTGTGTGGTAAGCAACTTTTTTGTGTGTTTTTAATTAAAAACATAGTTTTATGCAAATTTCAAAAAGTTAA